GTTAGGCAAAGCAGTTGAGATCTTTGGAGAACAATTTCACTTTGACAGGGGTATACCAGATACCTAAAATGACAGCTTCTGCTGATTTTCATGATTGCCTCAGGGAAGGATGAGGCGAGCTTGGCTCTGTTTTCACAGTATGTTTCTCAAATATAACTTCTTGGTCTGCTGCACGGGTAATTACTCTATAACCACAAAGTTCAAGTTGCCAATTATCTCAAGTATGGCCTAATTTTCCCCAATGATGCTAAAGCCTAATTCTTCTGGGTTTTGCAGTCTCTACCAAGTACATGTTAAAACCTTTATCCAGCAAAATGAACAGCTTGGTCATGTCAGTTTAGGTAACAATTTATATCTTAAGGCTGATTTGCAGTCAGTTTGGAGAATTGGTAATTATTAATTTTAAAGAGTGACCTCGAGACTAAAATAAATTCATTTTAATTTATTAACAGTTTGGTTTTCACTATTTTTTATAGCACCGTGGGCTCTGTGAAATAGTGTCCAATTCCGTATTGTGTCATAGCACGATCATCGTTCTAGATGGCATGCTGGTCTCATCTGTGGATGACACGGAGGTGAAAGCGGTAACATATCTTGGAAGGGCAGAATTGAGACGTCAGATGTTTTTGGCAAGTTGTAATGATGGACTCCATTCTAAAAAGGTGACATAGGGGACTTCCCTGATGATCCAGTGGGTAAGACTCTGTGCTCCCAATGCAGGGGGTGCGGGTTCAATCCCTGGTTGGTGAACTAAGTTCCGACATCCCGCGTGGCATGGCCAAAAAAGTAAAAACAAACAAACAAAAAAACCCTCCAGTGTAAGAAGAAAAAGTGAAATATTAATGGGGTGCAAGTAAAGGCTTCTCTTGGTTCTAACAAAAATACCTACAAAAAAATAATGGAGATATTGTCAACCTGATATGCAGCTATAAGAATGGCTGGTAAATGAGGCACCCCAGTATTAGTCCATAAGTATTGGGCATTTGGGGCTGCAGAGAGCAGGGCACCTTTAAGAGGAGGGACTGATATCTGTCTGGATATGGGAAGTGGGAAGTTATCAGGGTTGGAGGCTACTGCAGGGAATGAGTCTTATCTCTTGTCGTCTCTCTACTGGCCTTTCTGCTCACCTTTGTGTATTCAATAGGTTCTCTTCTGACTCCCAATATCCACTCCAGATCCCAGAGCGAGTTAATTTGATTATCTTCTCTTTTCTAGGGCAGAGACCTTGGCGCAAATCAACCTCATCGGTCATCCACCAGCCTCTGCGGATGCCCTTGAGGCAGGTCCTTACCCCTGGTCCTATCAGTGGCCACCTCTGCTAAAACAGCAGGTGATCCCTGCTTTTCTGAACAGTGATGAGCTGAGGTTGGGGAAGTTTACACTAGGACGTGAATCTGGATCTGTCTCCAAGAGCCAGAACTGGGACTGAGGAGTGAAAGCTACAGAGGAAGAGATTCGACTCCATACAGAGTTCCCTGAAAATGGAATAGGCCGTAGGCAGATAGATGGTTCTGGAAGGGTTCCAGGCCCCTTCCAATTCTCAAAATTGTGTTTTCATTTTTATTGTCACTCTTTTATTTCTTCCCAGAAGTGTATGGTGAAAACCAACTTTTCACGTTATTTTTTAACTGAGCTATGAAGATGATTTTGCCACAGTGTAATTAGGATCTGCCTAAGGTGTCAGAAGCAGTAATGCTTTTGCATTAGCCTCTTAAATAAAACATGTTTAATATGTGGAATATTCGTAAATTAGATTTTATTATAGCCAATAACGGCTCTGTTTAAAGAAAGGGAATCATTTACATAATGTAAATGTAGTGGGCCAGCAAACTGCAACAAAGATACTTCTCTAAGATTTTGAAGATGAGTATAAGAATGTTTCATACATTTTTTTCCTAAGGAATTGTAAATGATGTTCCAGAGAGTTCAGTTAAGCTTTTAAATTCACATGTCATGATGGACTGAATCATTTAGGACGGATTTCAGTGGTGACTCTTCTGACAGTTGTCTGAGCTGAAGTCCCCAAAATAGTGGCATTAAATCTCACCATTCAGCTTCTACTAATTTGGGAGAGACAGAGAGAGAGAGAGAGAGAGAGAGAGAGAGAGAGAGTGTGTGTGTGTGTGTGTGTGTGTATGTGTAGGGAGAAGAAAAATCATTCCATACAATGTTCATCCTTTCCCAAACAACAGAAACTAGTTATTTAATAGGAGAAAATCTGAACGCACTGAGAAGACTCCAGGGTGCTTCTGTTTCCATTTTCTGGTGTGAGAATGCTTTGTGACAAAGAGAAGATAGGGCAGATACAGGGCACGGTAGCCTTGCTTCCAGCTGCCTGCTTACTGCATTCCCTCGAGGCAATACGTGGTTGGGAGAGAGAACAGCTTTGTTACAATTCCAGTTCCACCATTTTGGAGAGAAGACAAAGCGCTCTCAGCTTCAGTTTCCTCATTTATAAATTGGGGATAATAATCGTACTTAGGTCAGAGAGTTCTTGTGAGGATTAAAGCACTTAGCACCATGTGGGGCTCATACAAAGTGCTCAGTAATTTAGCTCCTAGGATTATTTTTATCTTCATTAGTCCGTAAGGGGTGGGAACCCTGAGGTTATGCTCTCCTGTGCCTAGCAAGTCAGTAGCATCAGGCCCTCGTCAACAGTGTGGCTCCATGTGGTCCTGTCATACCCAGCCCAGCCCGAAATAGGGTCGGGCCCCAGCTCAGGGTCTGCGTTTATCCTCCGTGGAAGGCTTGATTCCATCCTCGTGTTGCTGCTTCCCTTGGACCTTGCCTAAGTCAGTATATCTCTCAGAGCCCTAGTTCCCTCCTCTCGAAAATTGGGGAACTATTCATTTATTTATGTATTTATCTTTTTAAAAAAAATGTTTTATTGGAGTATAGTTGATTTACAGTGTCGTGTTAGTTTCAGGTGTACAGCGAAGTGAATCAGTTATACACATACATAGATCCACTCTTTTTTGGATTCGTTTCCCATATAGGTCATTACAGAGTGTTCAGTAGAGTTCCCTGTGCTATACAGTAGGTCTTTATTACTTATCTATTTTATACATAGTAGTGTGTATATGTCCATCCCAATCTCCCAATTTATCCTTCCCACCCTTACCCCCTGGTAACCATAAGTTTGTTTTCTATTTCTGTTTTGTAGGTAAGTTCATTTGTACCCTTTTTTAGATTCCACATATAAGCGATATATGATATCGGTCTTTGGCTTAGCTCACTTAATATGATAATCTCTAGGTCCATCCATGTTGCTGCAAATAGCATTATTTCATTTTTTATGGCTGAGTAATATTCCATTGTGTGTCTACCTACCTATCTATGTATCTGTCTTATCTGTACCACAGCTTCTTTATCCATTCATCTATCAGTGGACACTTAGGTTGCTTCCATGTCTTAGCTATTAACAGGCACATGAAAAAATGCTCAATATTGCTAATTATTAGAGAAATGCAAGTCAAAACTGCAATGAGGTATCACCTCACACTGGTCAGCATGGCCATCATTAAAAAGTCTGCAAATAAATTCTGGAGAGGGTATGGAGAAAAGGGAGCCCTATGGAAAACAGTATGGAGATTCCTCAAAAAACTAAAAATAGAGTTACCATATGATCCAGCAATCCCACTCCTGGGCATATATCTGGAGAAAACTATAATTCGAAAGGGGGAACTATTTAATTTTTTAGGGTTTAAAAATTTTGGATACTATTAATTTAAACCGTATTTGTTTTAAAAACAAATTGATCAGGTTCAAATTGTGTAGAGAAGACAGAACTCTCAGCTCTGAATGAGTCATCAAAGAATGTCTCTGACTTTCTCTCCTTTGAAAAAAATGCCTGCGCTTGGATTCCATCTTACCTGATCTTCTGATGTAATTGGTCAGGGATTTCTTTGGCTGCATGGGGCCGAGTCACTGATTTGGGCCTCTCACTGTTGTGGCCTCTCCCGTTGCGGAGCACAGGCTCCGGACGTGCAGGCTTAGTGGCCATGGCTCACGGGCCCAGCCGCTCCGCGGCATGTGGGATCTTCCCGGACCGTGGCACGAACCCGTGTCCCCTGCATTGGCAGGCAGACTCTCAACCACTGCGCCACCAGGGAAGCCCCACTGATATTTTTCAAAAAGCTCTCCTGGTGGTGCAAAGGTGCCCACAAGGTTGAGAAGCACTTAGCAAGCCCGAGGTCAGACTATGAATGGGAAAGGCAGGTCTAGACTTCCTGCTTTCCCCGTTTCTCCCTGTATACCGCCCCCAAGTTCTGGTTTAAAAGAGGTCTTCTGAACAGTTTTTTTCTGTGATTTTTTTTCCACTCTTTCTCATAAAAGTGAGGTATTAAATAAACACACTATTCAAACACTTCTATTAGTTGGCTTCCGTTTAATTAAAGTTTCATTCTGTGCTGTTCTACCTTAACCTTTTGCTTGTTTTCTTACGATGATGTGTTCTGAAACCTTCATTCTCAGATGCTTTCTTTTCTCAGCACCTTCAAAGCCACCTCTGCAATGTAATTGCATAGCTGCGCTCCTCACTGAGATCGTCAGCCTTTGTCAAATACTTCGTTCTTCATTGTTGTTCTTTTCAATCTGTATTAGATTCTCCCCAGTTGCGGCCTGTTTGTTGATGTGATTGTGAAGCACCGTGTATTCCCATGAAGTATTCGAGTAAAATAAGATCAAGTGCCTTTTTTCCCTCTTTGATTTGTGTCCTCAGTTGTTTCTGCTATTTAGGGGTCATTCAGACTACTATCCTGTACCAAAATGTAACTGGAGTTGTGTTACCTTTTTTCATTACCTGTTGCAATGAAATTGCCTAAAGTTTCTTAGACATTGATGTCTGTAACTACAGTAAGGCTTGGTTAAAATTCATCATGGACTTGAATACGTATTAAGTTCCCCTTGTCAGTTTCAGTAGGATAATTGAACGAAATCTCAGCTTAATAGAATTAGCTAACCCAAAACAGTTTACACTGTTCTGTTTTTTTCCTTTTCAGAAATCTTCGTGATATTCCACACCTGTGTGCTGAAGACTTTGACCAAAGCTGCTGTAGGGAATTGGCATCCCGGGAAAAGGACGGCTTCCAAAATCAGGGAAACTTTCAGGAGATTCCAGGCCCAGTGGATCTTCTGAAGGTAAGAGTGAAACAGTTTTCTCTTTGCCTTTAGAAGTCTAAATGAGCTGTTCTGTCTTCCGAGATCTGCTTCTTGGAAAAGAGTGAATAAGGGAATAGGTTATTGATAATTCTTGGTAAAGAATTGAGAGTTTTTGTTTTGCAGGAGATTTTTTTTTTTTTTTTAGTAGTGGTGAAGGAAATCAATTGGCTATTTTGACTGAACAGGAATTTATTTAAAGTTTGGAGCTGTGAAATGAAGATCTATGAAGACCTACGTGAACACACACACACACACACCCCTTAAAAAAATTAGTAATGTTTCTTCTCCCAGAGAAATTTCTTATGCATTTAGGGTTTCCCTCAGCCTTCATTTCTGCCTTACCCTGCCTTCTAGGATTGTTTTAAGAATCAACCAATATAACTTATGTGAAAGCACTTTGTAAACCATGATGTATTATTTGCATAAGTAAGAAAAACAATGACTATTTCCGAACATTTATAACCCTCCAAAATACCCTCATACGCTCCAATCTGTTTTCCTCTATAGTTTGGTTCATTTTTATTTCGATTCAGTAAACTTTGCTAGGATCTCAAAAAGCAAAGGTGATAAGTCCTACCCTTCAAGGAATATCTGTAAGTTGCAGAGATAAATGCATAAATAAATATGACCAACTCCAATATGATATAAATATATCGAGAGTACACTAAGGAATGGAAATGGAAAAGGCATCAAATGCAGCCTGGGGCTGGAAGATTGTGTGTGTAAAAGCAGGCTTCCTAGGGAAGGTGACCCCTCAAATGGGCCTTGAAAGATGAATAGGAGTTAGCCTGGTAAAGAGCAGGGTGGGGTCGAGGAGGGCATTGCAGGCAGGGGCGGTGGGATAGGTGTGTGAAACCCACATGTGGAAGTAACACGTTTTCAGGATTGCTGAACCACAGGTATGGGTGTGGCGGGTGTGTGTGTAAGTGTAAGCACTGAGGGGTTTTTTAAAAATCGAGGCATGGTTGATTTACAATGTTGTATTAGTTTCTGGTGTACAGCAGTGATATATTCTTTTTCAGATTCTTTTCCATTATAGTTTATTATAGGATATTGAATATAGTTCCTTGTGCTATACACTAGGACCTTGTTGTTTACCCGTTTTATATATAGTAGTGTGTATCTGATAATTTCCAAACTCCCAATTTATCCCTCCCCACCCACCTTTCCCCTTTGGTAACCATGAGATTGTTTTCTATGTGCGTGAGCCTGTTTCTGTTTTGTAAATGAATTCATTTGTATCATTTTTTTTAGATTCCACAAATAAGTGATATCGTATGATATTTGTCTTTCCTTGTCTGAGTTCACTTAGTATGATAACCTCTAGGTCCATCCATGGTGCTGCAAATGGCATTATTTCATTCTTTTATATGGCTGAGTAGTATTCCCTTGTATATATGTACCACATCTTCTTTATTCATCCATCTGTTGATGGGCATTGAGGTTGCTTCCATGTCCTGGCTATTGTAAATGGTGCTGCAATGAACATTGGGGTGCACGTGTCTTTGCGAAGTATGGTTTTCTCTGGGTATATGTGAAGAGTGGGAATGCTGGATCATATGGTAATTGTATTTTTAGTTTTTTAAGGAACCCCATACTGTTTTACATAGTGGCTGCACCAGCAGTGTAAGAGGGTTCCCTTTTCCCCTGAGGGGTTTTAAGCTGGCAGTCATTGGCGTTTTAGGTGTGTTACCCTGGAGAAAGTATAGAAAAAGAGTTGCAGGTGAGCCAGATTGAAGGAAGGAAGATCCGTTTTGTAATGATCTGGGGAAGAGATGGAAGGGCTAGAATTAGAGTAGAAGCAGTGAGGAATAGAGAGGGTGAAATTTGAAAGAGCTAGAGTATTCTGGATTTGGTGATAGTTTGGGCATTGGAAGCAAGAACATGTTAGGACTTGGGATTGGCAGGTTTCTGACTTGGGTGACTGAAGCATGATGATGTCATCAAGGGGATTAGGAGGGAAGCGGACTTACTGTTGGAGAGGAGAGGACTTTGAGGTATATTTGGGACATATATATTTCAAAGATAGGTTGAAATATCCACCAGGCAGTTGGAAGTTTAAGTATGGTGGTTAGGGGAGGGTTCAGGGCTAGCAACATTGACTTGGGAGTTACAGGCAATAGTTAAAAATAGGAATTTGATTTTGTACTTAAGCCCTCACTATTATTCATTCTTATACTTAAAACACAACTCATGGGACTTCCCTGGTGGTCCAGTGGTGAAGACTCCATGCTTCCACTGCAGGAGACATGGGTTCGATCTCTGGTCAGGGAACTAAGAATCCCACAGGTTGCGTGGCACGGCCAAAAACGCACACACACACACACACACACACACACACACACACAACTCAGCACATTCTCAATTTTCATTTTATTTTGCCATTACCTATCATATCATTTGTATCTGTACTTTTTGGCCTTATTTTCTTGGCATGATAAATTAGGATTTTTCCTCATGACAAATGTTGTGACCTTCTGAGTTTGATGAAAGGAAATTTCAACCAGTATTTGAAAAACCTTGTAAACCCTAATATGTGGGAGACTTACAAACGAGTGCCATTCTCCATTTTAATTCACAGTGGTATAAGGAAAGTGCTTGGCTTTCCGAAGTTTAGTTCATTTTCTGTATACATCGAGGCTTCTTGTCAATTCCTCACGTTCATTGCTCTGCCCAGGATCTGAGCATTGCTTATGGAAGACTGAGTAGGATCTTTCTCGCATTCTCCAGAGGGGTGGTGCCAGGGTCCCAGACTTTGGGTCTTCCCGGCATCAACCCAGAATGTCATTAAGGAAGACTTGTAACAGAGGCTGCACTGTTTGAGGTCAAGTCTATCCGAGTTAGACTTTTGAAGTACATTACTCAGAGCCTTCTTTGAGGGACTGTCATGGGTAAAAATTTTAAATTCAAATAATACTTACAATAGTGCTATTTTGAGTGAATTTGATTTGATTACCATGGCCCTAATTAATTTACTGATTTTTTTTTTCTCCTTAAGACCTGCTGGAAAATTACAAAATGCCCCTTTTTTCCTCCTTCTAGTTGACTTCTCTACCATCCTTCCAGAAACTTTCAGGATCAGTTAATGTCACTTCCATTTTTATACACAAGACAGTTCATCTGAAGCAAAATTAAGTAACTTGCTCAGTGTTGACAGCTGGAGCCGGCGCCCTGGCCTCTTGGAACTCATTCTGTCCTTTCCACTTCAGTATTTTCCTTCTTTTTCCAAATCTTTATTGAACCGTGAGATTACCTATGTGTCTTAAAATAGGAAATTGAATTCAGCAAATCAGTTCACACTGATGGCATATGCTTTGGTTAATTACTCTATGTTCAACAGAGTTTGCTTTACTGTTTTAGGCTCTCGTTAAGGTTTTATTATTTTTTATTTTTGTACCTACAAGTTTTTTAGCATGGATTTTGTTTTTTGGCGTCCTTTATTTTCTCTGTACTGGTTCCACTGCTAAAAGGAAGGATTGAAAGAGAATCAAAATCACCTATGTTTAAACTCCAATTAAAAAAGGGCTATCATCTCAATTCATTATCAAGTCAATTTTTTCCAAGTAGGTACTTGCAGTACCAATGTGTTAGGCACATTAACTAACACGGCAAACACTGGCCACACAGCCCAGTTTTCTGAAACATCCTATTTTTTTTTCCAGTTTTATTTCCCCTTTTTTAATAAGAGATAGCGTTCATACATTAAAAAAGGCACTCCTCATGTATTTTAAAGACAACACTTTTAAGCAGAAGCTATTTCAGTTTGGGTCAAAGACATCGCAACACCCAGTGAATTTCATGTATAGAAGATGAATCCATGGAAATGCTGAGTTGGTGTATCTTAGAATGACGTCACATGAGTGCAAGTTGGAGGTGGTCTGAAGGACAATGAATTATTCTCTGAAATTCACAGAATGGTCAGTCATTGCCGTGAAACCAGTGGGCTGTAAATCATCAGGGTGCTGGTACACGACGTGATTCACTCTCCTGAGAGCTGCCAGTCATAAAAGGAGTTTCCAGTTGCTTATGTGCAGAGCCCAAGAAATACGTCTCCCCATTTTGGTCTGTCTCTTTTTCTGCCTTCCGGTCTCACTCATAGTCTTTGTGGGATAGACACAGACTAATATGATGTTTTCAAACCAGGAAACCCTTGGCAGTTTGTGTTTATGGAACTAGGAGTGGAGACAATATGTCGTGGATGGGAAACAGGTAAATCACCCTTCGCTTGGTAACGGGTGAGAGCCATGGGGAGACATTGCCTTGACATGTTTGCCCTCTGCGTAGCTTGGCCACCTTGAGCAGAATGACGACATGAACAGAGATGGACAGGTGTGGAAGCTTCTGTAGACAGTGAACAGAAGATGGCGTGATGGCTGGGAAAGGGCAAGTCAGCTTTCACCACCATTGTTTGGCTTCGTGGGAGCTCATCTTACTGTGGACAGCAGTATTGGGTGGCTGCTTCCTGCTCAGATTCCAGAATGAGTATTTCACGTACCATTATGCCAGCAAAGCAATGGATAGTGCTTATGTGACCTTTGGAGTTGCCACTTAAAAGTACTCAGACTTTGAAATATTCAAGACTGCCTTCCTTCTACCCTGTGGGTAGAATACAGAATTCCGCTGGAGGGGGTTGTTTAGGGCAAACTCTTTGAAGGTAAAAGCCATCGGTGAGTTGCCAGGGTGACACTTTTGAATGGGCAGTCTTCCAACAGGCTCAGATCATACTTAGCAGTAAAACGTGTTACCCTATGCCCTTTTGTAGTGTGGGATTTTGAAAAGAGAGGGGACAGGAAATGCTGAGCCACCAGCTTTGGGATCCAAATTCAGTCCCACTGTAGAGGTCACAGACATCAGCAATTTGTGGGCCATTTCGATGGAGGACAATGCCAGTGGATTTCTAATCAGATAATGTCCTGCTGCATTTGAATTTTCACTCTCCCCTGCCTTTTGTCGTTTGAGTCCTTTCGAAATTACTCTTG